ACATCTCTTTTCTCAAGACATTTCTCATTTGAGAGCATTTAAACAGTTGGAAGGAAGACTTGTTACAACGTTAACCCTTTCTTCAAGCTAATAAGAGAGGGTTAAGATGTGTGGGAAACGTCTTTTTTCTGTGAGAGTGACCCACCTGAGAGCTCCGTCGCTGCAGGCCATAGCCAGGAGAACACCGTCTGGCTTCTCCTCCACCACCTCCACAGACATGTACCTGAAACACACACGCCGCTGGTAAGACATAGGTAGACTAGATTTCAAAAGAAAAAGAGTATGGGGGGTAAATTCAGCTGATTGTTTGGCACTCAGATATTGCACCTTCGTCCTGTAAAAATCTATGCAAACTTAAACAAAAAAATTGAGGATATATACTTGTGTTGTTAGAGAAAGTATCTGATGAAAGAAATTAAGGAGGGAGAAATCAGTACGCAGACATTAGTATAAAAATAAATAAATAATTCAAATCTTGTGTAATTGCTTTTACATGTGTACAGAACACAACATGAACCTGCCTGGTTTCTGGGTCCATTTTCACCGTCTTGTGCCGGTTCCGCCTCTTCTCCCATTGTTCGTCCAATCGGTGACTGGCCACCTGGATCACCTGACAGGAGGGAGCCAGTCTCTGCTGGTCCCAGCCGATCGACAGCCGGTAACACTGCATCTGAGCTCTCCCCCCCGCTGACACCAGCAGGGCAGAGAGGGACTGTTTCTGGCTCCCCCCCCCCCCCCCTCCTGACGCGTTACCGCTGTCACTGTGCGAATGCTTGAGATGTGGTCGGTGATAACTGAGAGAACTTTAATGCTGCCAGAGCGGGGCTGAATTGCAATGACGGTTAAGCTAGTGTCCTCTCCTCCCGTCACCACTATCTCCCAATGCCCTCCCTCTTTGAGTTCATCCATTCCCTCAGTTTCTGCCAAATCTCCAGGACTTTCAGTTTGATTCTCATTTTTGATTCCCCTTATCATCCCAAGTCTGCACATACATCCAATCCCCCTCCCATGGACACCCTCTCTCAGGCCCCACCCTCCGGCTTTTCCACCTATGCTCAGTGCCTCTCCTGGTGTCTGTGATGTCATGACAGCCCCCTGCTTGATGAAGACCAGAGCTCCGTATCCGGGCCACACCCCTTTGTAGGGTGGCCAGAGACTCCAGGAGCGATGCCCCCCACCACAAGGCACTGCAAACAGTCTCTCTTGCCTCACGGGGTCCCAAACCACAAAGTGGACACCATGAAAGCCAATTATAGCAAACCGGGCTTCTCTTCCCTTATTCTCCGTCCTTTCTTCCTCAGGTTTAAAGCTCTCTTCCTCCTCCGCCTCTTCCACAGGAATGTCGGGTTCAAGAATCAGAATCCTCTCCAGCCACTCCATGCCCTTGCAGGCCCGCTGAACTCGGAGAACCTGCAGCTGAAGTCCATCTTTGTTCTCAACACTCTTTTCTTCAGGTTTTTCAGGTGGTGTTGGATTTACTCTGAAGACCCTCACACAGCCGTCCCTGCCCGTGCTGTAGAGCAGCCCCTGGTACTCACACACTGAAGTTACACCCTGTTTCCCATGCACCCCAAACCGGCAGCTTAGTGGGTGAAGCGTTGGGTGTCTGTCCTCCACCATTTCAGTTTTTATGTCTCCACCGCTTCCATTTCCCTCCGCTTCAAGCCCTTCACCATCTGTTGGTTTCCAGCCTGTCTGCGAACTTTCAGCAATTATTTTTCCATCTCTCATGTTTTGCTCCTGCTTTCCTCCTTCCTGAAACAAAAGCAGGGACCCTCTCCTGTCCCCACACACCCACAGCAACCCCTGTGACGAGGTGTGGAGGCACACTGCAGCTGTCAGCCAGCGTTTGGCACAGGAGGGAAGGAGGAAGGGAGGAAGGGGTTTCACACTGAGAGCCAAGGGAGAGTTCTCATCTAATTCTACCTTTACACACCAGCGAGAGACAAATCCTTCAGCTCCGGATGCTAGCAAATACATTTGTTCTTTTGCCTCATGCCAAATAAGGCTATGGATCTTCCCTGAGCCGCCTGTAAGGAGAATCCCACACTGAGGATGAGAGATGGGGAAGACATGTATGGATCCGCTGAGGTTTGCAACAGCACACAAGTTAACTTTTGCTGTTGAGTTTTTCACACTGACAGTTGTTGTTTCCATCACACAATACGATTGAAAGTCAGTAGTCCCCTGCCATACCATCTCCCACTGCCCGTCGCTGTATTGGTAAACTGTTCCGTGGTCTGTGCAAACCACAAACTTGCTCTGACTCCATGGTGCATTTGTATCCTCTTCCCCTGCTATACAGACCGCTTTAGGCAAGCCTTGACCGGTAAATCTCAGGTCTGTTAGCTTCTCTGTCGCTGCCTCCTCCGTCGTATCCATCCCCTCCTCGCTCCCTTCCACCCTCCACAACCTCACCCCTCCATCTGCCCCCCCTGTAGCAACCCATCTCTCTCCATCTGCTCTTCCTTCACTGATTGCGAGTGCACGAACCCCGCCTGCTTTGTGTCCCTTCAACGTCCGAACCACCTTGCCCTCTCCAGCCCAGTCCCACACTAAACAGGCCCCATCTTCACCGGCACTGAACACATTTCCTGGGGAGAGACGCACGGAGAATACCCTCGCCTGGTGTCCATATAGGACCCTTAAACACGACGGGTTCAAGTCCCCACACTTCCCCCCAGGTCCTCCTAAAGCACCTACACCCCAAACCCTTACACTGCGGTCGTCAGAAGCTGAGGCCAGCCATCCTTTCTCCTGGAGGTAAGAGATGCTGAAGATGACCCCGCTGTGGCCTAACAGACGTCTCTCCACTGGAGCTTTGTGCTTTGAGTTGCTACTTTCATCTCCTCCTGCTCCAGGCTTCCAGAGGACAAGTTGGTTGAAAACAGTCCCTCCCACTAAGATGGTATCATCCCAGGATTCATGTACAAGAAGGAGGGCAGAGTACAGCAGACAGCCCTCCAGACAGGAGCGCTGAAGCAGGACATTTCCTGTCCTGATGTCCAGGAGAAGAGCACTATTATGGGCTACAGCCACACCGAGCAGGGAGTGTTTGTCTCCGGAGAGCCACCGGACGTCCAGGGCCCAGTCCTGGAGCTCCATGAGGGGACCCAGAATCTCCAAACGCAGATGTTCCCCATCCTGGAGATCCACATGGAGCCTCACCAACCTCACAGCCTTGCCTCCAAACACCACAATGTCATAGAAGTTGGGCCCCAAGATGGAGCTCCGTTCTGGGGATTCAGAGGAGAGGAGATTTAATGGGTGAATGAACAGAAAAACAACATTAAAAAAAAAGTAAGTGAGATTAAACTCTTGCCAAGACTGCCATTATTGTATACATCCTGGGAGAAGGGAAACATAGAACATACAGTGCAACAGAGGAAATGTAATATAACAGTGACTTATAAACATTGCCTCATCTGTCTTCTTACCAGCCGCAAGACTCCTAGGTCTTATTCCGTGGATTCTGTAGTTTTGGAGCACACTCAGTGAGGCACAGGCTTTTGGACGATGTTGGAGACTGTACACCGTCAAGACTGGACCCTCACCTGTCAGGAAAGGGTAACGGAAGATTTTGCTTAGTGCATCGTGGGATCCTTCATGGTGTTCAGACTTCTTTTAAAAATAGACACACACACAGCCCCCTTAGAAAGCATTAGCACAATTTCTACTTATGCATTTATAGTTTAACCTAAAGAAATATACATAATAATCATAATGCACATACGAGTATATGGGAAACCCAATGATATTTCCCTTTTGTACTGCATTTATATACAACACTTATACATCGATAGTGCTTCCTACCCGTCAGAAGAAATGCATCCTGAAGAAACTCCAGAGCTGTGACTGGAGATACCAAGGCTGCTGTCTCCATCTCTAAATGGTTAATAACTTTCACGAAGACACATTACCAATGGTTCCTGAAATATTCAAAGGTACAACACACTTATTAAAGACGGTAGCATCCGAAAAGATTGCAAGCAAGCAGCGGGGACCGCAGGCCTCTTAAATATTCAAATGTTTAAAAGTCTACGTTGAGAACAGTTGTCATTAGCTTTTCAGTTAGCAAAACATGCTAACAGCATGAGTACTTCTTATGTTGTTTGTTAAGTGCAAACCTAGAAATGTGTCTTTGCTAGGTCGATATTAATACTGCTACATGATTTACTTACAAAGAGGACCAAACGCCTGAACAAATGTGATTCAAATCTGCATTAAAACATCTTTATTTGACTTCTCCGTCAGCAATCCAGTACCCATGTGTTTCTGAACTGTCTTCCGTGCCGCATCTAAACCAATCAGGCAACGCTAATGGCTTCCTGGACTCTGATTGGTTAGAAAGATGCAACCCATGTGACCGACTGTCACTGAGTTGTGCTACCTTTAGGTGTCTTCTGGAGAAAAAGAAAGTTGTTCAGTAGGCTATATGTGTGGTATTCATTATTTAAATATAACGGGTAGGATATTATTATTTGTTTTTCTGATAATTTAATTGAAGAAGAAGAAGATTCAACTTATTGTCATTACGTAGTACAGGTACTATGTAACGAAACAGTTTCCCTGCATTTGACCCATCCTAGTGTTAGGAGCAGTGGGCTGCTGTTGGGAACGGTGCTTTGCTCAGGGACACCTCGGTAGCACTTGGTCTTTCCGGGACTTGAACTGGTGACCTTCCAGTTGCCAAGCCAAGTCCCTAAGGACTTCGCCAACACCGCCAATGATTACCATTATCAGAAAACAATTACATTTAAGTAAGATTGTAAGTGTAAATACTTAATATAATATATTATTATATATTATATAAGTGTATAAATATAACTATTCATACCACAACAATACAAAACAATTGTGCCGGCACACTGCAATTCACAGGAACATCTTAGGAGGTCATATGAGTTAGCTTAATGCTCTTTTACAGATATTGGCTATTTCTATGTCAACAATTCATAGAGTTATTGCAAGTGACATCCACAGTGATTACCGAGTGGACATTGAACGCGTCAGGAGGCAGTGGTTTCTGTAGCAGTGCAGCTAACTTCAGCGTCAGCCATGCCTGGGAAATGTAAATTTCAAGAGTCCTGGCTCTCTAGGGAAATGTACAAGGACTGGCTGGTTAAGGAAGTCCAGGACATTCACTTCGCCCGGTGTAGGGCGTGTTGTAAATCAATCAAACTTCAGACCATGGGCGAGGCTGCTCTCACCAGCCATGCAGCGGGAGCTGGGCACAAAGCAGCGGTCCGCAAGCTAGTGGAAGGTACAGTAGCTTAGCCTCAATTATATCAAGGGAAACTGCCATGAAACGCGTTTAAATATATGCAATTGTTTAATGCTGACCCTCCCTGTTTGTCCAGCCTCTTTAATATTGGGTTGTGGTGCTGCAGTTTTGTTGTTGGTGGTGGGTGTGTGTATTTGGCTGCAACAGCTGTATAGACGTGAGAGTTACAACATCTGTCTTAGGTCATTAACCACAGCTTTCCCATCGGTCATGAATTATGAGAATGCATGCATACGATTTTTGGATGACAACAATATAACCTCGTATGGTTGTCATAAACTTCCTCTTACGTTTTAAGATGTTCTATTAAAACAATATTGCAGTGGAGATGAGGAACAGCTGTAGTTGAACATCTGCATCCTGCTGAAGTGTCCTAGTCTTTAGGCAATTGTTCTACGCCATGGAGAACAATTGCCTAAAGCTCGCACTGTTTTAAATGTAAAAATAATAAAAGTAATACTAGAGTGATGAAAAAACAGTATTTTGTCATCATTTCAATTTAAGGTTAACCTATATTAACCCCATTATTTTGTGATTTTCCATTATTATGAAGTTACACAAACCTGGTGTAACATTAACTTTAATTTGTTCCCTATTTGACAATTTAGTGAAATTAAGATATTTGGTCAATTTAACCCCTTTAAAAGAACATTTAAGTATTCACAAAACACCACAAATCCATTAGTTTTGCTGTTCTGTGTAAAGAGTCTGCCATCACTTAACTCAGAAAACTCTTTTTAATTGGTGCCTGTGAGTTTATGTTGAGCCTGCTAGTTCTCATTATAAAATGTTTCAGTGTTAAACTAACTAACGTTGATCCGAGGTCCTTGAATTTGATGTTAAATGAGGTGTGGGAACCCTGTCCTTATCCTTTTTACAGCACTATTTTTTACTGCCTTTAATGACGTGATGCTGCAGTATCAAGCTCAGTCCATCCTGATGAAATAAACCTAGAAAAAAATCCGGATTGTAAAATTTCAACGTTATATTTGTAATTATCTTTACAGAACAGTAAGCTTATTTTCTACTATTACAAATACTAAAAAAGGAGTGCAGTCATGATGCTGTAAGGCGCTTTGGACTAGATATGTGTGTTCGTCTGTAAATAGGCGTGTGTAGGTGTGATGTACCTGCCTTAACCAGAGGGAGGCACTCTCTGCTTGTTTCTCTGAGACACTAACATTCAGTGCCTCCCATTCTGTCTGTCTCTTTTTCCAATTAGGAGGCAATGTGATGCTGATCAATGCTGCTGGGCAGATAAATGGCAGCGTGAATCGGGTAAATATTTCAAGTGATTGTTTTATATTTATTTTAGAGTTAAAGGTCTAGTTATAAAGAACATTCAAATGAACCTGGAGAAGCTCATATCAATGCGCAACTATGACTCATACAATGTTCCAGCAGCGGGAAGTAACACCTTAAAACACACTTTGTTCTCTCCGCCTCAGACTGAAGACAGCAAGGAGCAAGTGGCCATCTGCCTCCAGCGGGACGCCTTGGACAGAATACCAGGCAGCAACTGGGCCGATCAGCACCACAGCCCCACTACAAACTCCACCTCCCACAATGCTGAGCTGCAGGATGCCACATTTCCTGCTGCCTACTTCACAGCACCAGGTACACAGATACATCTCTGCCAGCTGCCACACTCTTTTGAATTATTATGTTTACTAATTACATTCCAATATTAACAACAATATTACTCTTTGCTGAGAAGTATCACATACAAAAACACTTAATGATTACCTTAAGCTTGATAGGATTGTTTGGGATAACATGACAGAGGAGGATGGCGTGTCTTTTACCCCCCTGCATTAAGGTTTTATTTTTTTACTAAATGACAATGAAGTTGAATCAAAACTCATTTAAATATACAATGTTTTTTATTTTTTTGTGGCTGGATTTAATTTGAAGGCAGGGGTCTATTAGTTTACAATTACTGTTAAAAACAGACACTGTTGTAAATCCCCCTGCCTTTTTTGGTCTTGTGGGAGGCGGGGCTTAGCCTCCACCTACCAGGCCACACCTGATCCCATTTAAGGCCTGTAATCAGCCCTGCTCAGTCTCTCCTGTGTCTGTAGCAGCAAGCTGACCTCATGTGCTCTCTTCACAAGCTGAATATATCGATACATTATTTGAGTAAATTGTGATTATGTTTATTGATGACTTATCCTAATCCTTATCCTGCGAAAGCAATATTTGTTGTAAGAGTGTTGTAGCCCTTCCTGATTTCCATTTGTGTTTTATGTTCTAGCCTTAAATTCACCATCATGTAGATCAACTGTCAACTGCATGTGAAGAGAATAAATGGTTGAACTGCTCTCATCGTGGGTCCTCATACTTTGACCAGTATGCCAATGCAGAGGCACTTCAGACAACCCTCCCTAAAATGATAGTCTAGTTTTTACAGACACATTTCCGACTATTCATTCCACAAATAAAGACACCTACCGTAGCCTGCTGTAGTATAGAACAAATGGTTTGCCTATCCAGTTTCTCCTTGACATCTTTCATTGACCTCATGATTTTTTCATCAAGGTGAAGGAAAGATTTCAAGGAGAATTAATTAGGAGTCAGTTAGGACGATACTAAAAGTAGCCCCTGGTTCTTGCATCACATCTTTCTCAGCCCTGTTTGAAACTTTCTGCGGTGTAAACCGCTAATAAGAAACCAGTTGTGCATTGATTGAAACCGCTACATGCATTTAATGTTGTGAAGTAATCAACACATATCTTTCACCTCTGACTTGGCAGGCACCTCCCGGCTCATCAGCCAGCGTCTCCTCCCGACAGGCGGCGAGGGGGGGGAAGAGACCCACCGCTCGACTCAGCAGGACCCCACAGATATGTCCCGACAGGAGCACCAGCAGAGGGCCGAGGCTCTGGAGCAGCAGCAGCAGATGAAGATCCTGGAGTGGCAGAACAGGATGAAGGTGCTGGCGTGGGAGCAGGAGCTGGTGAGGGAGAGGAGGAGAGCAGCGCGGCAGGAGGAGAAGGCCTTCAGGATGAAGAAGGCGTACTACAAAGCCAAGCTAAAGAGGATGGGAGAGGACGTTCCGCCATCTTCCTCCAGCAACAGCGATGAAGAGGAGAACACTTCTAATCAGACAGGATGAACGGATTCTATTTCTTGTATTTCTTATCAGCGCTTGTTTCATTATTGAATGCTTTTGTGTATATGCCATGAAACTGTTGCTACTTTTATACATGTATTATAACATATAGACGGTTGGTTGCTTTAAATGAGCAGTTCTTACACAAATACTTTTTTGATTTTTCTGAGATAAACTGAACTAGTTGAGTACACTTCGCTTAATCTCAAATTTAAAATGAGGTTCTCGTAGACCAATAGAAAACATGTAAATGGTATATTTTTGAAAGGCTTCTTACATATGTAATATTTAAAAAAATACCATGATCCTGTTTTGTTTAATAATCATTCATCACCATGTGTCTTAAGTATTTAACATTTTGAGATGTCCATTGATGTTGAGGGTGATTGTAAAGAGTATTACAAAATATATTAAGATTCAATCTAATCACGGCAGCTGTACAAATGTAATGTTATTCCTAAATGGACACTTCTTCATGATTTTACAAATCTGACCTTTAAGTGGTCCTATAACCCTGAGTACAGGTTATATTCTGTCTCAGCTGGGGGCTTCTGTTTTCACCGGGCATCATGGTGGCAGCTGAACATCTCTGACTCCTCTGGATGTCCGTCTCCGTCTGTCAGGAGGTTTTGCCTGCTCAGTTTTTTCGCACCTGAAAATGTCTGTTCTCATGAATAAGGAAAGCACACACACTCACACAAACACACCTAGAATAAATATGAACAGACGTGTAGGAATAAGTCATTTTTTTAATATCCAACATTTCTCTTGTTTCCGCGGTAATGGGAACAGCTGTTTCCATGCCGCCGTCCCCTTGCCGCCGGCGGGATAGAAGGCATCCCATAATGAACACACGAGAAAACAAAGACAATCTCCCATTCCTCCTCCTCTCACCAACAATCTCTTACTGTGTCCGTCATTTGTCCACTTTTGCTTAAGCAGAGCACGTCTCAACGTTTCAGGAACGCCTTAGTTTCCTCTCACTCTCAGAACCAGATTAACCTGAAGCTGGAGTTTTCTGTTAATTGACTGCTGTGTATAAAAGCATTAATATGACTGGTTAATGATTTGATTTTGTGCATATAAATCTTCAGTCTTGGATCTAGAACAGGAAGGTTAGTTTGAACCATATCTGCACTATAGGCTATAGGCTACACCCAGAGTTCGCCTGTTAGTTTGGATATGTTGAAATTGTGTCTGGGGAGAATAAATGCACCGATATAGGGTTGAAATTCAAACTTGTTTGGTCAAATATAAAACAAATCCAGTGTCCTGCATGAAAGAGACACTTTTCCCACTCTTTTCTTATCATTTGTCTTTGAATGTGTTGCATTGAGACTGAGAAACAGAAAAAAGGGAGCATTTGGATGGGAAAAAATTACATACTTCAAAAAAACAAAAAAACAATCCCATACAAAATGGCAACATAAATAATCAATACAGTGTCAATAAATTATTGATAAATAAAATAAATCTCATGTCTGTACAAGTTAAAGGTACTGTCAGTTGAAGATAATAATAAAAATAAATAAATGAATGGAGCAGATGAATGAAACGAGTGAGTAGGAATCAAAGTCTACACCTTAAACAGAATAGTGGGTGGTGTTCCTGTGCTGGAGCATTTTTTGGCAATACTACTTTACAAATATGTTGGCTTGTCATCTTCCAGGGACATGGGGAAGACAGAGCAGGGAGATATTCATTTGTGAGGTGTGTGTTTTTCCAGAATTTTCTTTTCAATAATTGTTTCTCTGCGATGAGTAACGTCCACGCCCTCGTCCCTGCAGCTACATTTTGCACAGTTTCTGACCCAATTTGTTCCATCCTCTGGTTTTGTACCTCATGATTTATTATTACGCTCAATGCGCTCTATCTACTAGGGTTGCTTAAATGTCACAGTGCTCTCTGCTCGAGGACAACACATTTTGGCAACCTCGTTTTTTTGAGACACTGCATTTTCCTTTGACTACAGAAAACACAGAGTTATGTCAGCTTCACTCCCTTCATCCTTCTGAAGGCTGGTGAAGACTGCCTGTCTCCATTGCTTCTAAATGCCTGTGTGTTGTTACCTGAAGGCCTGAACTCAGCTGTGAGAGAGGAGCAGCTGCTGATGGAAAGAGCTGGCACTCAAACCCACTTAGAGGCTTTTAGCGCTGACACACCTGACATCTCCTCTCCTCAGCAGACTGCTACGGTGCTGCAGAAGCGACGCCAAATCTTGCAAGAGACCTCATCTCTTCCTAAACAATGAGAGGAAATGTGTATGAATGTGTTCTGGTTTGAACCTCTCCATCAATGACCGCTTGTTAGCAAAGTAAGGAAGTGCCTCGAATATAAATAATTCATTTCCCAGCAACTGTGTTCAGCCAAGGAACAAAACCTGGCAGGGGATCTATCTGTTACAGACACGAGCTGATGCAAACTGGATATGTGCTGCAGGTCTAATTTGTGAACTCCAAATAAAATATGGTAGCATACTAAGATTAATGACAGCAAATCAAAATCCTGCAAACAGTCGGTAATGTTTTGGCGCAGATCTAGAGGCCTTTTTAAAACAGTTTTTTTCAATTTGGACTTGTTTTCATGGCACAGTCATTGAAAAAACAACAAAAATACCCGAAAAACAAAAATGAGAATTACACGTAGAGCTTTCACACCCTGCACAGGTCATTTTCATCACAGGAAATTGAAGAACGAGGATGTGAAGTTCTGATTTTAAGTGTGTCCCTTTGGCTTGGATTTCTGCAGAACTTCTTCTTCTTCTTCTCCTGGATGCTGCCGGAGACATTTCACTGCTCCTGTGGCGTCTCTTGAGGCAGGTTTGAGTCGTGATGCATCAGAGTGAAATACCTTGAGGGTCTTTAAATGGTTGTTGCATGACACACAGAAGCAGACAGATGTCTTCCTTCACCCGTCAGCACCAGATGAGCACAGATGGGCGACAAGGGCACATTTATGAACACTGGATCACAAAACAGCACAGTCTCCTGAATGAGACGATACTTTGACACTCGTGACTGGGCTTTACTAAATGATCCTCCAACTCTGAACCTTCCTGTGGTGCTTTAGCTAAACGTTGGCCATCTTTCTCTTCACAATCATCTTCCATCAAATCTCTTCTCCTATATAATCCTTCCTCTATATACAATCAGTTCTTGTTGCTTTGATATTTTCCCTTCAACCTCATGTGGCGGTTTTTTGATAATCTCATGGTATAATATTGCCGGACCCCTGCTGTCGCTTTACAGAGTTGATGAATGTGAGGAAAAGTTTCTGAGGAAAACTGTTTCCAAGGAGAGATTTGGGGATTTTTTTTTTCTTTGAAGGGGAAATGTCTCCCTCAGCAACGTACAAGACTGCAAACGCACCGACCTCACTCACAACTTCACACGGACACAATCATTAAAAAAAAAAAAAAAAAAAGAGAAAACATCACAAGAGATTTTCTTCTTCATCTCCAATGAAAAAGATACAAAATGTATAAAAATGTTATTTACAGTCTTTTCTTTTTTTCTTCTTGTGGACACATGTTGTCCGCATCACGCTGAATTTTCGTTTGAAATCTGCGGATTTTGTGTTTATCTTGAACAGTTTGTAGGTAGTAGAGGTGGTTGACTCAACGTCCAAATAAACGTCATAGCTCGTTGAAGGCGGTGGGACTTGAACAACGTAATTTATACAGTACAAACCGCCCAAGAGCATCCTCATTAACCTCATCGACGCTCTCCCTGTCGTATTTTCTGACAAACTCAGTGTCTCCTCTGTCCCGAGTGTTTCTAGTCTTAGATTCCTCAGAGTGCTCCAGTGGTTCCGGACGATCCATGACCTCTGAACCTCGTGTTCCAAACACCGCCTCAATGAATAAAGGGACATGTAGGCTGTCATCAAGACTGTCCTTCACTTCTGTTGGCTCTGAGGAAAGAGAACAAAAATGAGTCTTTAAAATCCTCTCTACTGATGCTAATTCCACTTACACATAGTGATGACAAAATACAGTAAGTACAGAAGCAACATGGAAATTAGCTGTTAGAGGCAGAACCAGGGAGACAGAACAAGTAGAATGGAAGGGTGCAGGAAAGAATAGCCAAACAAATGTTTACGGAGGATCAGGGGAGAGGGGGGGATTCATTAGCACAGGAGGACTTACTCTGAGTCAGGGGAGACTTCAGATATGCTGTGGGAGGTTGCTGATTGGGGCGGGGAGGGGGAGGGTCCAGAGCCATTAGGCCCAGGGTTAGAGGGGGGAGGAGTGAGGACGGTGGAGCTGAAGGAGGCCAGGATAGAGGACAGGATGTCCAGGTGTTCGCAGGACGGTTGTCGCCCCAGAGCGTTGGGATTTGAACCTGCGCCCTGCGGGACAGTCTGACCGGTGTACCTACATGGGGGGGCGGAGTCCAGCCGTCCTCTGACGTGAGGCGGGAGCTGCTCCTGCGGGGGCTCCTCAGAGATGGGGGGAGGAGGGGAGGACGAGGGAGGCTGGTCGGGGTGCGCAGGCTGGCGGGGGGGCAGAGTGCGCAGCCACTCCCGACACGGCTGGGCCCCGCCCCCGTTGGGCTCCAGCTGCTCCCTCGACCTGCTGCTCATCAGCGCCCCCCCGAGGTGCTCCCGGGACGAGGCCTGCCGCCGAGTCAGCGAGTTCAGATGGGACCTCGACCCGCTGAGGAATCCCTCCATCCCCCCCGCTCCCCCGTTCCCACTCAAGTCCTCCCTGGAGGCGTGCACGCTGCCTGTGTGCTGAAGGTCCAGTCTGTCCCTGGACCCCGACAGGTTCTCCCTGGATGAGGAGACCCGCTGATGCTCCAGCCCCCCCAGCCCTGCTCCCTGCCCCAGCTCTCTCCTCCGGGGTAGGAGGTCCAGGTTGTCCCTGGAACCCCGGGAGTCCAGTCGGTCTCTGGACCCGCCCACCGCCTGCCTCCCCAGGGTGTCCCTAGACAGCTGCCTCCGGGACAGCGAGTCCAGCTGTTCCCTGGAGGAGTAGCGGGAGCCCGGTTGAGAGAGAGAACCCGAACCTCCACCTGCACTGGTGGCAGAGTACATGCGACCGTACGAGGCTGCAGGGACCCCCCGGTGGCCTAGAGTGGAGGTCCGGTACCAGTTCAGATCACTGGGGGCCCGGCCTATTGAGGAGAGACCCTGGAGTGCCGGGGGACAGCCGATACGATTCTTCAGGATACCTGAGACAAGAAAATAGGAACGTGAGAACATTAGACAGGGACACAGAGCAAAGAGTCAAATGTGTCGAGGGATACAGAAAGATGAACAGAAAAAGAGCACAAAAGAAGGAGTCAGTGATTGGTCAGGTTTTTTAAAGTTAAATTCACACACTTTTAGGTTCTTAAACCTTATAATATCGAAATTGTTATTTTGCATACAATTTAAAAGATAGAGTTACAAAAGTCCTTTATACCCACAACAAGCAATCTATATTGTCACTTTGTTGATCTTACCCAGCCGTTCATATATACTGAGATTTGCATTTTGTAATCAAGCACATTCCTAACCTTAAAAACAAAAGTTTTAAAATGTAAGTCACAGGAGGAAAGCGTGTGTTTGTGTGTATCAGGCTTGAAATAGGTTTGCTAAAATAGCACCCATGCTGCCATCTTTCTCTCTCACTCACTCTCAGTGTGTCATTGCATGTTCCCATTTTATATGTATGTATCGATTTTAGCTCAGCTTTTAACACCATCAAAAACTGTCAAGCCTAGGTTTCCCCTCCATCTTATGCGCCTGGATAAATAATTTCCTAACAGACCGTCCTCAGACAGTGAAAACCGGCCCTTATTGCTCCTCCACCCGCACACTGGCTCCCCGCAGGGCTGCGTGCTGAGGGTGCTACTCTACACACTCTACACACACACAACTGCTCTCCCATTCACCTCTCCAACTCCATTATAAAATGTGCAGATGACACCACTGTGGTCGGCCAAATATATAAGGGAGACGACGAGTCGGCATACAGAGACGAGATCCTGAAGCTGTCTGCGTGGTGTTCAGCAAACAACCTACATCTGAACACAAGCAAAACTAAATAAATCATCATAGACTTCAGAAAGCACCGTCC